TACATTTATGAGGCAGTAACTAACAATTATTAAAAAATGTACAAATAATGTACTCATAGTATTCCCAAGATATACACATACACTTAGAATCCCATTTTACAAATCAGAAAACTGGGATATGGAGAGATTTCCTATAGTGACCCACGAAGAATGTCTGTCACACAGCAGAGCTGGGCTTATTCTGTGTTCTAAACTGTGTACACAGTTAGGAAGTTTGGTAAACATGGTGTCTATTTATAAGACAAGTATATTTGGGAAGGATGGGAGAAAATCTATATCCTTAATTTATGTAAGAATCTAATTCTTTAAAAATATGCCTCAGTAGGTATTTTATTACTTTCTACTTCACAGAACCTGGTGCCACACACTCAGTATGAATTTGTCAGTAGAGGTCAAGGTGTGTATAAGGCATTCATTAGAGAGCATTCGTGTGCTACTGCACTGGTCAGTATGGGAGCCCCTAGGCACACGTTGCTTTTAACACATGGCTCATCTGAGTCAAACTATGTTGTAAATATAAAATTCTCACCACATTTTGAAGATTTAGTGCAGAAAAGTCATAAAACATCTTGCTAATCACTCTATATTAACTTCATGTTGAAGTAGCATTTTATTATATTAGGGTGAATGAAATGTTATTTAAATAAATTTCACCAATTATTTTTTACTTTTAAAAATATACCTACTTAAATTTAACATGCCAGCCTATTTCCATGAGATAGTAATGCTGTAAAGGATTCCACTTTCTACCTCTCCGGCAGTTTCCCTAGCACAGTGGCTCCCGGTCCATCCCTGAGGTTCTGAGTGAAGCTCCCACATCACCAGTTTTTTAAGACTTCGTACTCTAATAGGAAGCATGGAGAACTACTCTTAAGTCTAATAAGGCAGCCATAGAGCTTAATTTTTCAAAAGACACTTTAAAAAATTATATCCTAGATGCTAAGTTCAGTTTCTTAACTAGGTAGGATTTTTTACTTTGTTGAGCAATGACAAGTAAGGTGGAAAACATATTTCTTTTCCAGTTAAAGGAATATTTTAAAAGTTGTGTTTGCTTGATTAGCTTTCTTTTTTTTTTTAATTGAGTTTATTGGTACATTTAGGGATACAGTACAGTTACATTCATTGTTGGGATCATGTACCTTTACATGGCAAATCTTGATTCTCATTGTTTTCCCCTTACCTCTGCCCTCCCTTCACCCCCTCCTCCCCTCCCCATCTACAAACACTTTATTTTCATCTTTTCATTCTCTCACATTTTTTTCTTTTCCCTTTTTGTTCTTCCCCTACGTATCACACCTTCCCTACACCTTTAGCTCCTTTCCTCCCATTTCTAAATGTCAGTAATCTTATTAGAATCTTATGCATTGTTGCAGAATATTCACACCAGGGAAACTATTTAGTATTTACACATGTGGGACTTATTTAATTAGCTTTCTTAATTATTGTTGGAATAAATAAGCCTAATCTATATATTGCCGTTTGTTCTCTAAATTTGACCAAGAAGCAGCATTTAAAGTACTTCACATGCAAGAAAGAAAAGATGACTATGCTTCACTAAATGTGTACCAGGTCGAAGAACAAGTCTTTACAGGTCACAGAAACACATTTTTGTGGCCTTTAATATTCCCAGTGACGTATTAGTGGACTATGATATACATACTAACAGAACATTTCCTGCCGTGCTGGATAAACTCTAGTTAGTTTTATAAAATGCCGCCTAAAGTTGATTCCTATCATATGTTATTATAGTCAAGGGAGCCAATATCCAGCTTCTCTCATTTTCTATCATGTTTCATGATTTATTCTCTTTTCTGCCACAGTGTCCTGTTCCACATTTTCACTTCCATTGCTGATTGGAAGGTACTGTGAAAATACTACTGATTAAAACAACTGTGATAAATAAAATTGTGATACAAAATTGTCAGTTTTCCAGAGAAAAGAAAGTATTCATGGATTCTGAGAAACTATTTTTTGTTCTCTTGAGGGTCAGCTACATAATTTGCTTCTATTTGTTAGACACCAGAAGTTAAACCATTAGAGCTCTCAAAGTTTTGTTCATACCCAACCTGTTTAAAAAGTTGCCTTCTATATGATTTATTTATTTTCCCAAGTTACAGAAATTCTCTTAGCAACTTTGTGTATCAATAAGATAAATATAAATTCCTCAGGCAGAATAACGACTGTGAGAGCTAAGGTCAAGCATTTGCCTGCCTCATTCACTATGTCTCCTTATTGTTCAGTGCACCAACACATGCCTTATTTTGAAACAAAACAAAATATAAATTTACAACAAAATATTTCAAAGTTCAATGTAGACCCATCAGGATAAAGCTTCTTAGCCATGAAGCTGCAATTATATCACTGAATTTTTCACTTGTCCTCTCTGTGTTTGATCCTGAATAATTCTATACTTAGATTACTGAATAATTTTAAATTTTCAAACATTTGAAAAATTTAAAATCAACAAGATTTAAGTCTAAAATTCATGGGAAAAATTCCAAGCCATAATTTAAGCTCAACCTACTAATTATTGATGGCAGCTATTCAATATCTTAAAATACATACAGTTATTGTCCCTTTCAAATTGTAGTGCTGTGTTCGTTCACCCAAGTTACAGAGGTTGGGTGATGGTACTGAGTGAGACTGGACATTCCAGGGCACTTCCCTGAGTTAGAATCTGTGACTTACTACAGTCCCAGAAGTCCTCGAAAGTCCGTTATATGGGTCAACTATCTCTGCGCTTATCTTGGGCAATAGTGCAGTCAAATGCTTTGTGAAATGGAGCTTGAATTTGTGAAACAGGACAAGAAAACTGCTAACCTAGTAAGCTACCATCACTTCAGGTAAGAATGTGATTTTTGGATCAAATTAGCATTTGACAAAGGTTTAAAATCAGAAACTTTGTAACTGATTGTGTATACCTCTACCAGGTATACAAAAAGCTTAAAACAATAATTCTAATGATTGCTGGAACTTGTTCAACCTCGCTGTCATCTATAATTGATCTGTTTTATATGTGTGTGCTTAAAAGTAAATAAAATTTCAAGCAAAGAGAAATTCATGCATTTGTTAGCTTTGAAGCAATCTGAAATTGATCTGTATTAATTGTGTAATAGCTAACTTTTTAGAAATGCCAGTATTTTCAAAATGTGATTGTGCCAGATAAACCCCAAGGAATAATAGTAACCAGCTGAATCCTGGGCTTTATTGTTTTTTGTTTGGTAGCAGTAAAATGTAATAGTTAGAAACTCATTTTCTGAGCTTATAAATAGACTGTGTTTGAACCATGGTTCTCTCACTAGCTTTATGGTTATGCACAATTAAACTACTCTTCAGATACTTGAAGGTCTAAATAGGAAATAAAAATAGGAAAAGTAATGATGCATAGTAAATATTATAGTGTTGTGGTGAGAATTAATCTGGATCATAGCTAGGAGATAGCTAGGGTAGTCAGTGTTCAGTAGCTGTGAGCTATCACTATGGATAGTTGCCCACCTGTGGAAAATTATACACCTATGCAAATACTTCTGACAGTACTTTGGGCTGAAAGATTGTAAAACAGCCAGACTAGTTTGTATTACATTCTTGGATTTATTTTTTGCTTAGTTACCTAATGACTGAAGTTGAAGGGGGGCAATATTTACGTACAAATTATCATACTCTTATTTAACAAAAATCTCTGTAAAAGTCTAATAATTATGTCATCATTGTGGTCAAGATTTATCAATAATTTATCATTGTCCGGATACTGCACATAATTTCATTTACTCTTCTTCACAATAACACTATGATACAAGTCCTATTTATTATAATAAAAAACTAAAGCATAGAAAAGTTAATGTTTACTAAGTCCTGCTTTTAGTAAATATTAAATATGTGATTCAATCATAGAAAATCTAATTTTCACAATTACAGTTTTCAACCTTGTGCAGTAGTTAAATTACATGAATATTGAAAGATTTAAGATAAAGCAGGTAAACCTTACTGAAAAGTATTTATGTTAAAATGCATTTTAAAAAACTGAACTTATAGCCAAACCTCTAATTTTGCAATGGTTTTACATGGATGCGGCTGAAGTCCACCCAGTGGGCAGTCATCACAAGGTATACTATGTGAATTTCACATATTCTTAACACTTCTGGGAGTTAAACTACTGGGATGTGGAAACAAAATATAGATAGTTGGTTCACTAATATAGATTCTCAAATACTAAATCCTCATGCCATCATGTTAGTCTTTTTAAGGTTGCACAGACATCACTTTAATATGCAAAGTATCGATCATGAATTGAAATTGAGAGGGTGCCCTTTTTGATTGCCTTTTCTCTTGAACCTATCATGCATCATGCTTTATAAAAAATGTCCTTTAAAGCATAGTGCTAAAGACACTGATGGAAACAGGTGATGTGGTGATTGTGATGAAATCAGTCATATGCTTTTGGAAGAGTGGGAAGACCAAATTGATGAATCACCTGAAGCCATCTGTTACTGTTATTGAGCACCAGCTGCAAAGAAAACCAAAGTACCATGAACATATAGTGAAAATTATTTGAAATTTGTACTGTAATGGACTGTCAACGAGCATAAATTTCTTCATTAGGAGCAATGTGTTTGGGATCACTCAAAGACCTAGTAGGAACACATTCTATCTCAACCATCAGTTTTAAAATGTGAAAAGATTACAATGGGAATTTTAAAAAGCAAACCAGGAGATATTCAAAGCCTCTGAACCTCACTAGTGGATGGCAGGAGTTGAAATTGCAACACAGTAAAACCCTTGTTTATAATGTTGGTTTTCATTGGCAGGATTGGAGCTGCTCAAGAATTTGGTGGGACTCTTATCAGATCAGCTGCCAAATAATGCAAGTGATAACCTACAAGACAAATCAAGGCAAAAGGATACGATGGGGCAACTCTTTCAAATCCACTGACACATTTGACCCGAGTACAGAGCAGTGTTTATTATCGTGGATACAATGAAGCCCATGGCATTCCCTGCAGACGAATTCCCTGACATTAGTGATACAGCTGATCTTTCAGTGTTTGTCAGATAGGAGCTGAATAAAGGAGCCCAGGAGGACGTATTGTTCGACCACCCTTTGTTAAATCTTACAACTGAAAAAGAGATTTTAACATTATCAATAATTTCAAGATAAACAATAACACAAAAGCGATGTATTGGCTTAGGCAGATGGTGCTTAGGCGTTGGTGTCCAATAAGAATGGCTTGTTCCATGGATTCAAGCTGTTGTACTGGAAACAAGATCTTCTCCCTGCTTCACACATGGGGCAAATCTCACCACCAGAGATGGTTTTGAAAAATTTCAAAAGGACCTAGTGAAGCCATGAAGATTTTCAGCCACATTAAGGACAACAAATTGAATTATCAGTTTTTTTTCAGCTTTGAGAAAGTGTCAGCCTTGGTTACAATTACTGCGTCCATTAGTAGCTGGAGGAAAATCTTCATGCTTTTGGTGATAGATTTTGTGCAATGTAAAAGAACAAATGCATAATTTAAATTGGACTTGTAAATGAGTATTTTTGTAAATTTCTGTTATTCCACCTGAAATAAAAAAAAAATGGACAGGATAATTGCAGATCTGAATATTAGAGATACATATCCTGATTACCAAGAGCTGGTTTATTATATTGGCCTGGATAACCTCATAAAAATTTGTCGAAGGAAGTAACTACAATATTCTGAAAGTTATAGATACTTATTTGATAAACATTTCCATAAATACTTGGAAAAGGAGAATGCTTTTGGGCATTGATTCCACATTTTTTGTGTGACGTGGTCTATATTAACACATTTCCTTGTCATATTCATTTTCTTTATCTCATTATCAGATATTTGCTCTCCCTAGTAATTTTGAGATATAAAATGTGTATCTAGATATGTCAACTGTAAATTTAGTTTGTTCCTTTGTTTTGGTTTTCTGAGACAGGGTCTTGGTCTTGTTATGTAATTTAAGCTGGCTTTGAATTCACTATGTAGTGCAGGTTGGCCTCAAACTCACAGGGATCCTCCAGCCTTAGCCTCCTGAGAGCTGGGTTTACAGTCATGCACTACTATACCTAGCTCTCAACTGTTTTTTGGAAAAGCCCTTAAGTGTTTATTTTCTAAGATACGAACTTCAAAAATTAATCAGCTATGCTTCTGATCTTCTGACACCCTACCTTCTTAGGGCAGTGCTGTGTATCCACCTTGCTTTTATTTTATATCTCTCCCCTCAAATGTATAATTCTCATTTGCTTAGAAGTATGCTCACATTTCATCTATGCACATAACCTTGTCCTCTTGACTACATATTTCTCTCCTGCTTCATTTTCTCCTCACTGCTAAGCTTCTGGGAAGAATTGGTTGTACCAGCTGTCCCCACCTGTCACCTCCTTGGACTTCTACCAAATCACTCCCCCAATTTCCTACCCACCTCTTCCATCCTCCTCCTCTGGGCCCTTATGTGTTGTCATTCCTCACCACTTGGTGTCTGCTCCCTTAACTCCTCTCTGAGACATTTGGTCCATGAGTTTCAGCAGACAGTAAATGCAGGTGATTTGTGAAGGAAAGAAGGAAGGAGAGAAGGAAGGAAGGAAGGAAGGAAGGAAGGAAGGAAGGAAGGAAGGAAGGAAGGAAGGAAGGAAGGAAGGAAGGAAGGAAGGAAGGAAGGAAGGAAGGAAGGAAGGAAGGAAGGAAGGAAGGAAGGAAGGAAGGAAGGAAGGAAGGAAGGAAGGAAGGAAGGGAGGGAGGGAGGGAGGGAAAGAGAAGTGAGGGAAGAGGTAGGGAGGGGAGGGAAGGAAGAGAAGAAAAACGAAAGAAAAAGAAAGAAAGAAAGACCCAGATCTCCCTGCCTTCCACCCCAGAGGCTCTTAACCCGTACTTGTTAGGTGGCAGCAGACAGTTCTAGTAAATTCAGTGCCTCTGGAGCTGAACTCCTGATTTTCCTCCTTGCAGCTTTATCAAATGAGAAGGTAGAAAAGAATGGAACAGGGAAATGTCTAAAAGTCTACTGCAGAGGTTTGGGTGACAGAAGCTTGTTAATGACAGAGAAAGAAGTGATCACATATGGCAAGATTCTAATGCATTTGCAAGGTAAACAGTATTTGTTGGTGGATTAGAATGTAGAAGGTAAGACAAAGAGCCAAGGACAACGCCTGTGTTTTTAGGGTCATGCTTTGATTAGGGGACTTTGGTGGGGAGAGACGTGTGTTGGAGGGGGATGAGAATCAAAAGTTGAGTTTAAAACCTGATGATCTGAAGTGCTCACTGGGCATCTGGAGAAGATGCTGGGTGGGCAGTGGATGCACCAGCTGAGCATAGAGGAGAGGTCAGAGCTGAAGGAACAAAAGTGAGAGTCATCAGCATTATGTAGATCTCCATACACTACCATGCTGCATATGGTCTTAATAGGTTGTTCCAATCATTGTAGACTGGAAATGGAAAGAGGTACAAGCATTACCAGTAAGCAAAACACATTGGTAAAAAAGAAGCTTGGTCAAATTTCCTTCATAGCCTGTTCTTTCACTCTTCAGCTCTCACTTCTCCAGCTTCGACACTTATCTTATAATTCAGAAAAATCTAATATCACCTGGAACCTCCACACCACTGAGAATCTAAGTTCAAAAACAAAACACCCAGATACTTCAAGCTTTGAATTCTTTGGAGTTCTGCATTTCTCTCCACTCATCTCCAATAGGGAGTTTAAGAACACAGTTAATCCACGTCAGAGAGAAAAGCCCTCCAGAGTGGGTGTGAGTGCCTCTGCCATAGTCTGTGCTCACACCTCAGCTCACACTTCCCCACACCTGGTACCTGATTGTATTTACTAAAATGTATCACATTATTTTCACTTGTGATCCATTATTTGCTTAAGAAGATTGATGTTTCATTCCATTTGATCTGACCTTTTCTGTATGGTGTTATGGTTCCTTTAGGCTCGTGGTTTTATCCCATTCCCCAGTGTGTTAGGCTCCTTCATCCATACAAGCAGCCTGTGAAAAAAATGGAGGCACAGGAATGCTTCGTAACTTCCACCAACATCCTATCGCTCCTGAAACCTTACTAGGCTTTTCACAGAGTCAAGGACAGTGATTAATTTATGAAAGTCCTGATAGTTCACTTCTTACCTTTCAGAGATTTTCCACTGATGTGACAGAATGGTTAGTTTGTCAGAATAAAGATGCCAAAGAGACCCAAGGTACGTCATCATCAATAGGATTATGTTACTATAAACAAGTCACAACCACGTTTCACATGATACTTAGGTTTTATAGAGAACTTCCCAGAATATATGAAAGTGATCTGTGACTTTCAAATCGCAAAATGATCAAAGTGTCACCTTAGTAAATACCTGCTGGAGGAAGAAGAAGGATTTTACTTTATAAAGTCATAATTCATGAGCTTGGTATGTTAGCCCTCCTTGAGCTGAAACTTACCTGTCTCTCCAGCACACTCTCTTTGCTAGTTTCATCCTGATGCCCTGCTTTCCAATTATAAGGAATCACTCTGATTCTCAAATCATGCCAGGCTGTTTCCTACCTCAGTGCCTTTATTCGTCTTTTTATGCTTCTTGGGATTCTTGGAATGTCCTGTGCTCCATTGTTCCATATGTCAAAAAAAAAAAAAAAAGAAAAGAAAGAAACAAGAATAAATTCCTTTTCTGAGACTTAGCTCCAGCACCATCTGCTTATGAAGTCTTTTTAGTCACAGTTTATCTGTCGTGAGTCCTGTAGTACCCCTCTTATTCCCAGTAAATACCCCATATGTTATAATAATTACATTTGTTCCACTCATTTCTTTGCACATGTTTTTTCCCAGCTCTTTGAGGGCTGTCATACCATGTCCTATTAATGTCAATGCGTCTGTACAGTTCTGGGTACACAGAAAACCCTTAGTAATGTTTTGCTGTATTCAGGGGCGAAAGCCAAATTGTTAACAGCCATTGACCAAGAATTGGGAAATCTGAATAGATGTTCAACTGATCATAAAGGACACCATATTGCTGCAGATCAGCTCAGTATTGGTTCTTTGTATACCTACCTTTTTATTATTTTGACATTTGTGGATCTGGTGGAATAATATATAATACATGATTCATTCTTTTAATACAGTTCTTTTCAAAACTCAATGTCTTAAATCAGCAGAGCAGCTCTGTTCTATATTTTTACCTTTGCTTTACACCTTGTCAAGTTCCACGACAAAAATCTCTCCTATTTTCATATTGACATATCTTCCAAATTATTTAAAAGAACATTGATTCTTACTTCTATCAGATGGTCTTGACACTCTCTGGGTATGAAGTGCTTTTAACTTGCCAGCTAGACTCCTGAGAACAATGAAATGATAAGACTTTTATTGAAATATTATTTATGCACAAGCCAAAACTATTTCAACCCTTGACAGTGTTAAATAAGAATCCACTGAAGATGCTTCGGTGATGAAGTTTATGTCCCACAGCATGCGAAGTGAGAGGCCAACCAGCAAGACCCAAGCAACCATTGCTGCAGATAGGAAAAGAGTGAAGCTGCCTCTTTCTAACCTCCTGGATTCAGTGATGCTCTTCTTCTGAAGACACTTAACTAAACAAAGGTTAAGGGGACACTAAAGTGAGTGAGTGTGATGACTTTTTCCATGATCCATAAAGAAAAGTATGTATTTAGATATGTGATTTGTCATCATATTTTGAGAGAGTGCCTTTTGGAATTCTAGCCTACTCATAGGACCACAGATCTGCTGAAATGGTACTTAATCTTTAGAAAGTATTTACAACAATTCAATGCCCCCTAGAATAAGAGAGCACATTGAATGTGGCAGATCATGATGGAGGGGAGGCAATAAAAAAGAAAGCACAGCTTGAGGTACAGTATAACTGGGTGACTTACACCTCCCCGCTGAAGGCAGCAGACTTGCAGTTACGGAACTGCTAATCTGTTCTACTGTTTTTTAATCAGATGTTGGCATTATCTGCCACTAATTGCTTTTTCATTTCCACTTGTAATTATTCCATTGCATGTTTGTAGTGAGAAGCTGAAAATGAGGCAGATCACTGAGAAAGAATTAATTGTTAATGAATAATCATCAGTAGGAAGCCAATTTCATTATCTTCAAAGAGGTAGCCAGAGATTAACCACTAGCTGTGGTTCTCCTACTTTTTGTGCATGACTGTAAAGTAATCACAAATAATCACGCCCTCCAACTTCATCAATTATTTTCTATTATGTGGATTGATACCCATTTTTGTCTTTGTTGTTTAATTATAATGGCAGTATTCATGCTGGGGAGTGCTAATTGGAAGGTGTTACATTCAGTGGGCTCTAGGCCTAATTATTAGAGCATCTTCTTCATTAGCACATGATCCTACAAGGTTGCATGGTAGGAGGTATTAATTTTTCTAAGCTATAAGAATATCATATTAGGAAACTTTTGCACATCCTCATGCCAAGTAACACACAGGAAAAAAAACTTAGGTTTGGTAAAGTTGTGTAGATACGACTGAAGGCTTTGTGTTTAAATAAACTAAACAGGATTATTTAATCCATTCCAAATCCTTGAATGAAAGCCCACGTCTGCCTTAGAAGCTCGATCCTTCCGGGAGAGTTGATGAGCTTATTTCTATGTTGTTTCTGCCATTTACTGATCTCCATTCTTCAGAACAGCTCCCGCAGCCCCTGGGAATAGTACAGCTCTCACGGAGCTTCGCCAGCTATTAAGGACTATATGGTGAGATGAGCTTGAAAATCGGGATGGAAGCGTCCTAATGTTTGTTGCCTCCATGGTCAAGGGATGTCACGCCACCTAGACTTTGGGAGAAAAGAAGTGTGTGCTCCTACTTTACAACTGCATGGAGCTGTGCAGCCTCTCAAGGTGCCTTGTGTACCAGCTCACCATGTCCATCGCAGAGCGCAACGGCTCCCTGCTGATGGTTGTGTCGCGCCTGCAGGAATCTCGATGGCGCAAAAACCCATGTCCCGCATAGCTCGGGTACATTTACCTGTGTATGGTGAGCACAACATTTTGCTGGCATTAGGGACAAGACTAGAATACCCATTACAGAAATATCACAGGAGGAAAGCAACATAAGAAACCTGAGGACAAGGTAGACACTGTGTAGAGAGACTGTGAGGCAAGAAAAAGGATCAAAATGATAGAACTTTAGGCTCAAATGGTGTGTCTGTGCAGACATGTTAGCCAAGTCTGAGGAAGACTGGATTTGATGAATGAGGAAGGAAAAACGTAGCAAAACAGCATTCTAAACAGACCAGGGTGCACCTGGCAGCTTTCTTATGATCAGGGAAGATACAACCAAAGAGGAGAGAAATCTGTACCAACAAGAGAAATCTGCACCGACAAGAGACCTGGCCTTTCCAATGTCTTGCTTGAAGACAGATTCTGATGTCTCCTAAGTTTTATTGTAGAATCACCAATGAGAAGTACAAAGCCCCCAGATAGAAAGCATTGCTTGAGGAGAGAATCCTACTAGGAAATTTTTGCTAGATTACAGCGATAAGATCATTCATTTATATGATATCTTACTCAGGCACAAAACAACCTTACTTTTCAAAGATGTTAATGCTACATTCTTGATACTTTTCTTAAATGAAAAGTTGGGAAGGAGAGACACTCATAGACACACTTGTATTTTTGCAGTATTCCAGCTAACTGTGAGAAACATTCTTACCTTAGCTCAAACCAAACAGATTGTCTAACTTATTCAGAGGTAAAATTATTTGGGCATGTGTGTATTGGCTCATTCCTGGATGGTGAGATATAAACTGAATCTATAGCACAAATGCTCTCTTTGGTTGAAGTCATTTTGACTGTACATTTTGTTTGACTTGTCACTTACCTGGCTTGACATCTCACAAGACACTAATGATGCATGTCAAGACCCTGACTTTGTCAGGACGTAGGTTTTAGAGCATGATTCCCGATGCTTGGCTACTGGCACCAAACTTTTGTTTCTATTTCCACACCTTTCTGACTATTTGGAGACCTTGTACGAGGGAAGTATGTGAGCTTCCCATCCTTTGTGCTGCAAGCCTAACCCCCAACTCCAGCATGGCCGTTGCCATGGCATGCTGAAAATTGGGAGCTGAAGATTTTATTGTAATTTTAGTTTTTAATTCTTTTTCCTAGAGCAAAGTGATGTTCAGCATGGAGGTAGAACAACAGGGATGATTCCTCTCACCTTTGCCAAGAGTTCCTCTTTGTTGAAAGCTGGACAAGGGACAGGGAAACTTTGAAGGCACGATGTGACACAGGCTTTCTGTAAGTAGAGTATCTCGTTTATGCATTCTCTTCATGGCCCAGAGCGGAGAACCCAATCAACATATATTAATATTTATATATAACAATAACAAAATTGCCTTACATTGTAACACTTATAATACTGTTGGTGTGTCTGATATTGTGGTACATACAGGAAAATTGAGATGATACAGCTCCTAACCTCTAAAGCTTGTTCTCATATATGTTAACTTTTACTTGCAATCCTATTTCAGAGTATTTCAGAGGTGAGAGAGATCCAAACTGGGAATTTTAGAGGCCCAGGGGTATTTTCAGTTGAAGGTAGTTATAAAATTAAATGGTATGAAGTTAAATATATTACTTTTTTTTGAGTTGTAGTTCTGGAAATTGGGGTGAAACTACTAATTATATTATTTTTTAAATATATTGATATAAGGGAGGGTGTTTTGTAGCTCAGTGAGGAGACTCAGGATTCAATCTGCACTTCCCTCTCCCCCAATCTTCTTACAATTAAGGAAACTAGTGAACTATTTTCCAGACCTTTAATTCTGTCAATCAACTCTGCTATTACATTCATATAGACAAAGATCTTTACAATACTGAATGCATCTTTAGTACTTTATGCAAAAGCTAACAGCTAATTACATAGCACTGAGCCCACACCCTGTACGTTTCCATTGGTAATAACAGACTCTGAACCAGCACAACCATGAGTGAGCAGATAGTCTCAGGAAAGAAGCCATAACAGACACTGTTCAGGACAAGTGAAAACAATACCAGCAAAATGCTCTTCTCCTATTCTGTCATTTGCTATCAATTTTAATACCTTATGTCTCATCAGAGAGCATTTATACTCTGACATGTTCCCTCTTGGTGCTAGATGACAACTACTAAAATGTAAATCAGTGCAGAGAATGATTGGGTTTAGAGCCAATTCTTAATAAAAAATAACAGCAATGTTAATTTCAGCTTGAGAATGATGGCTTTTGTATGGTGCTATAATGGTACAGACTATAACGGTGTCAACTACTGCAATAAAATATGCTCCAAATGGGCTACCAGTTTTCTATTTAGACTAGGATGACTTCTGTCACTT